CAAATGCTCAACATTGTCTTAATATGTTCTCAAGATCATCCATGTCAAGTTTCAAGCCTTGTAGAGGAAGTTTGCTCAGTCAATTGCTCAAAGGCCTGAAAATCGATTATGTTAGGGCAAAAGTCAATTGTGGCCCACATACAGCCAAACTTCAATATTTTTGGTCAAAATCCTCATTTTGAAGTATATTTCATCATTTGATCAAGGTTTGATCATGATTCATCAAGGATTGCTCATAATTCATCAAGACTCAAAAGTTGCTAAATTAGGGTTTTGCAGGAAAAGTCAACTCAACTTTGACCAAGCATAACTTTCTCATACTTTATGAGAAATGACCCATCCAAATCTCATTTTGAAGAGGATGTAATTCCCTACAATTAATCTCCATCTCCAAAGTTCAAAATATGCACTCACAAGAAGATATAAATTTGGACATTATAGATCATTTTGAAAAGTCAACAAAAACACCTTTTGGGTCAAAGCTTCATACATGAACATGGAAGACTCAATTGAGATGAAACAAAAGAGGTTGCTTAGGAAACATCCTAAGATTTCTAAAAATTCTAAGAACACCCTCATAAGGTTAAAATTGAGAGAAATATGCATTGTCAAAGTTGGACAATTTTTGAAAAAAATGCATGAAGCAAATATTGATCAAACTTGGATTTTTTTTCCAAATGGGCCTATCTTTTCAAGTTTGAAACTCATTCCTAACATGGTCCACGACCTCTAAGTCCACCCATACATTTTTCTACTATTTATGCTATTTATTTTGATATTTTATTCATTAAAATTCAGAATTAAATAAATAAATAATAGAAATAATGTAAATTTTGATGTGAATCCATTTTGAGAAAGTTTTATGCTGGTTTATGTCAATTGATTTCGTGAAATAACTTTTCAAATATGTCCAGGTTCATCCACATGTGAAAATGGCATAAAATCATCAAATATGGCATTTTCTTCAAATCTTGATCATGGTCTTAAAATACAACATTATGAGGGAGATTTTTTCCATGCTTTCTTGTCTCCTAATCCTCCTCTATAAATATAGAGTCATACAAGCTTGAAAGGGACGAAAATCCTCTCTAAAAAGCTCTCAAAAAGCTCTTCAAAAAGCTCTCTAAAAGCTCTTCAAAAAGCTCTCCAGAAATCAAAGAATTGGTGCAAGTCATATCTCGAGGTTCCGGTCTCTCTCAATTGACATCAAGCCTCAAACCATCCTCTTGAAGTCCTCAAGAGTCTTACAAGGCCCAAGAGAAATCCATCACACGCCTAGCACGCCCCGGTTTGACAACACCGGTTTGGTAAAATTTTAAACTTCGAATCTCTAATTTTAATCACATTTTCTGGTATGCTAACGTTTGTTTGAGTTTATATAGAACAGTTATGGATGGTTGAATTATAGGTTCCACGCAAGAATCAAAAAACACCATAGTTAGAGCATGAAGCTTTCGAAGATTCGGGCCTAGGGATTTCTGATGATTGCACCCCTGTTTACTTTTGCTACTAGGCTCATCTTTATTTTCATGTTTTATTCGTTTTATTTCTTTCTTTTAATCCCTTTTTTTATCAATAAATAAATATAAAAATCACATAAAAATAGATTTAGGATTTTTTCTTAATTAAATTTTAATTTTAGGTAAAACTTTAATTTCTTTTTGTAAATAATTAAAACTAATTAGAATAAATAGGTTTTATTACTAACTTAATGGTATTTTATTTTTTTCCTAAAATAACAAAAAGATCAAAAATAGATTTTGCAATTATTTTTATTAATTAATTCAATTACTAATTAATTTCCATATTAAATTTAGAAAAATTTAGTTCTTTTCTTTAAAAATATTAAAAACAACAAAAACATTTTTCTTTTGATTAAGAGGGTCAAAACCTTAAATTCTCGTCGATCTTAATTCTTCTCGCGCGCTTTATTTTTATTATTTACCATATTGATGTAACTGCCTACAGTTTGTAATAGTTTAATTAGGACGTTTATTTATATTTATCGCTTTATTTTCAAAGGGTTTGTTTTTGGCTATGTAAATACCCGAAGCCTTGTAATAGCGTAGTTTAAATTTCGCATTTTAAATTCCGCAAATTATTAACTGTTAGATGTATGATAATAGGATGCATGACAAGAATGTATGATTAATTTTAAAACAGTTAGATCACCCTAAATATGCAAAGATAAATAAACTGAAATTGAATCATTCGCACATGTGCACTCCTAGGGTACACTCCCACTTGGTTTCCTTCGGTAAATGATCATTGAGTATAGGATGCTTTAGTGGTCATCCCTTTGTCTAAATAAAGATCAAAGTCCCGATTCGGAAAAGTTGCCTCAGAATGATTGCCTCGGAATTATTTCCTCGGATAATTGATCTAAGACATTAGGGTTATTACTAAGACGTCCTAACATTGCTTTAGTGGTCGTACGTCCCTTTCGAATTGACCCTCAAAACTCCAACGACGATGCTACCTACTCACTAATAGTGGGATAGCGTTGTCTAAAGGAAACGAACATAGAACGATTCTTTTTTCGAGTAGGTAGATTAGTTCTTAAGTACTTGCTCAATCAAAACAAATTTTTCACACTTACACTCCTTTTCAAACAAGTTTTTAAAAACACTTCATTACACTCTTGAAGACAGAAGCAAGAGTTAAATCGAAGTTAAAATAAAAACTTTTCAAAGCACACAAATACAAAGAAAACAATTTTGAAAATGATGAGCAAGTACCTAAGAGCCCGTAGATAACTCAGAAATATCTCGAAAAAAGAATTTTTTTGTGCTTTTTTCCTTTCCTTGTTGGATAAAATAAAAGTCGGTGACGACTCTTGCTTACCGCGATATTTTGCAAACACAAACGCAAACCAGCAAATTCCTTAACGAAATAGGGAAACACGATCCCGGTTCTGGCCACCGTATCACACACTCATAACCATAAAGAGGTTAATATTAATAGTGAACAAAAAACAACTCCAATCCACTCCACTTACCACCATTTATACCACATACTTCACACTGATTCTATAGCATACATGCACCTTTTACTATACCAATCCACCAAACATAAATCTTCTGAATCTGATATCCAAACCCTTAATTCCATTGACTCAATTTCACGAGCATTACCACAAGAAATCCAATATGTCTGACAAGCCCATTCAACCATTTTCCAACCACCTAAGGGCATACCCCCATCCTGCCCACATGACAATCACATTCCCCTTGAACCCAACACCACCACCATAAATGTTAAACCTTATCGATATCCCCCCTCTAAAAAAGAAGCCTTTACCACAATCATAAATGACATGTTAAACGAAGGCATCATTAAACCTAGCAATAGCCCTTATTCCTCACTTGTTTTACTTGTGTGTAAAAAATATGGTACTTGGAGATTTTGTGTTGATTATCACACACTTAATGCCCTTATAATTTGTGACTTATTCCCTATACCAGCTATTGATGAACTCTTTGATGAGTTAGGTTCTACATCTTTTGTTTATAAAGATTGACCTTAGGCCACGCTACCACCAAATTAGAGTAACACCAGGAGACACTCATAAGATAGCGTTCAGAACCTTTGATGGGCACTATGAGTTTTCGGTAATGCCTTTCTGTCTAACTAATGCTCCAAGCTCTTTTCAAGCGGCGATTAATGATTTGCTTCCCCGTTATCTAAGACTGTTTGTTTTGGTTTTATTTGATTATATTCTCATTTACAATTCTTGTTTATCTTAACGTGTGCGTCACTTGAAATTGATTTTAGGATTACTTTCTACTAATCCATTTTTTGTAAATTGTCAAAATGTGTGTTTGTTGTTTCAAGTGTTGATTATTTATGCCATATTATCTCTTCAAATGGTGTAACCCCAGATCCATCTAAGATTCAAGTTGTGTTAGATTGGCCAAAGCCACGTTCACTCACGACACTCAAGGGTTTTTTAGGTCTCACTAGCTTTTATCGACGATTTGTTCGTCATTACGCTTCTCACGCTGTTCCGCTCACTGATTTGTTACGTTTCAATAAATTTACATGGAGTACAACAGCAAATACAACATTTACAACATTAAAAAATAAAATGATGAAAACTCATGTGCTAGCTCTTCCTGACTTCACCAAGACCTTCACTCTTGAGACTGATGCTTCTACTGTGGCCATTGGAGTAGTTCTCTCTCCAGACAATCACTCTTTAACATTCTTCAGCAAGAAAATGTGCAACCGTATGCAAGCTTCTTCTATGTGTGTTCCAAAGATGTACACCATCACATAAGCTGTAAAAAAATGGCATCAGTATTTGATCAGAAGACATTTTCACATCTTTACAGATCAAAAATCATAAATAGAAACTTAGAAACTTACCTCCATTGCTTCACCAACGACCAACCACGAAAATGGTTCAGCTTCCTTCACCTTCCTGAATTTTGTTACAACTCTTCGCTCCATTCTGCCATCAGCATTAAAAAAACAATTAATAAAATTAAACTAATATGAGATATGGTCCTTCATCCAAAAAGCCTTTTAATAATTCGTTTGGGCTTTGCATCAACGTGAGAACTAGTTTGATATTAACTTCCAATTCATTTGGTAGTAAAATAATGGTAGAAAATCTTATATTTTCTAGTCGCGAAAGATTAAAAAATAAATAAAACAGAAAAATTGAAAGTCCATTTAATTTTTTGAACTTACACTATATTTGGTCAAAAAGGGATGGTTTCTTACATTTTTGTATTATATTTTTAAAATATGGAATATTAGGAATACATTTTATAAAAAAAATGATTAAATTTTTTTGTTGTTGTTTGTTTGCCTATTATTTATGATTATTGATAGTATTTATTATACATAATCCAATTTTAATTATGAATATTAAAATATTTCAGTTTCACTTTCATCCTAATCTTAATGACATCTTTTCTTATAAATACCAACTTCAACATTGGAATAATAAATCTACAAAAGAAAAAAAGATAGCAAATCAGTATTATAGAGTAATGGCAAACCAAATGTCAAAGTCTTTCTGTTTCTTTGCTCTGATGGCTTTATTTTTTGCAGGTAATTAATTACATTCTCCACCATTGTCACCACTGTTTTTCAATTATAAATCTTACTAATTTTTTCTTCATTTCTTTCAAACACAGTTCAATTTATTCAGATAGACGGTGATGAGTGCACAAAAATTGTGGGTAACTGTGAGGTAGCTGATTGCACTGATCAATGTAATTCATTTGCCGAAGGGCGTGCGAATGTTTTAAAAGCATCATGCTCATTCTTAAACTTATGCACTTGTACTTTTGATCGACCACCACCAATAACAATTCCAACACCTACTTGCGATATTGGATTGGGAGTTTGCGGTAATGCCTGTAACTATGATTGTTGCCAAGAAAAGTGTCAAAGTAGATATTCTAAGACGAGTTTGGGGAGATGTAGAAAAATCTTTAATCGAGATATTTGCCTTTGTACCTATGCCCCTTGAGATTCTACTTAATTGAAATAAATAAAATAAACTGTTATTTTCTCTATTTATAAGAAGTGTTTTTTTTTTTACGTTACCCAAAAAGGGATGAGTTATCAATTATGACGCCGGGCCACTTATAAGCGGATTAGTTTTATTCACTATCATCAAAGTTGAAATCATCTTTTTCAATTAAAATATATTCTTTAATAAAAAATATAAAATTAATTATATTATAGAAAACTACAAATAAAGAAAAATAAAAAGTTATCCTTAAATAATAAAATGATATTAAATAGAAATATGGTTAAAATACATACAAGAAAAGGATATAAAAATAAATTTTTAATTTATGAATGTTTATGTATATCTTCTGGTCACTATTTTAAGTAATAATAATTTTTTTACTTCATTAAATAATTAATCTATTTGATATATAATAATGATCAAATACATTAATTATTCAATGAATTAAAAAAGATTTTTGTTGTTTATAATAGTGACCGGAGGATGTATCTTATTATTAGATGAGTCAAATGCATAAATTATCCACATTTTTGGGTAACTTAGAACTCACCTTTATTTTTTGAAAACACTTTTGCCACTTTTGTCTCCTATAAAAATTGGGATAATACTTGTAATGGTAAAAAAATATAGGTGTTTGTTGCCCCTGCAAGGATATAAACACTCAAATGTCTTAGTAGGTGTATACAAAAAACTATGGTTAAAGTTATTCTTGGCACCGAGAAGCCATGAGTGGTGATATTTGGTGGTAGTTTAAAGGACTTTCTCCCATTACTAGGAAAGATTATTGACCGCCTATTCTCAATGGAGTCATATTGGACTCCTTTTTCTCTGACTAATAGAGACAACAACATTATACCATCATTAGTCTCAAGGGCGAGCGCTATGTTATTTGAAGATTATTCTTAGGCGATACCTCCCTTAAGAGAGGACAACCAAAACTTCCTTGTTTAGGTATTCTCACAAATATAATATAACACTACATAGTCACTCAAGCATAAGAACTTTTTTATAGGCAATGTGTTTTCAAGGCTTTTGTGACGTAAATCCCTCATCTTTTGGAGAGTCCCAAAGTTGATGACAAATTTTTATTTAAAGATGAGTCCCTCGGCTTAGGGCGAGTCCCTTAGCTAAATGTGACATTTTATTAAGAGGAGCGTCCCTTAGCTAAATGTATCTAAGGACTATAATCCAAGGTGAACCACGCAAATATGAGTGCTAAGGGAGGCGGGAAGACAATAAGATTACTGAGGGAAAAGTGGGATGTTGTAAAGACATTTACTATATAAATGGCCAATAGGGATCTTGCCCAGATTGATGAGGCAAGGCGTGTGAGCATTCTCTTAAGAGGGCTCATATCACCCTTGTAAGAATGGAGGAGAGAGTCTTGTTACTCAAGGATGAAGTTGTGGTAGTCTTTGTCCATCATTTTTAGAGGTCGAGAAAAGAAATTACCTTCCTTTATCCTAATCTAGAATTACCCTAATGGATCATTTTCGGGTGGTTCAGGACGGTCGACTTGTGGACGACGAGAAGTTCCTTGTACTTTAATATTTTTGTGATATACCATTTTTTGAAATAGTGAACAACGTCCGCCTTGTTAAATCTCATAAGTGCAACCTTATATATATATTTTAGGGTTTATGCCCCCCTAAGAGTGGCAAGGATCCCTAAGTCTTGATCGCCTATATGGATGGTAAGGATCCCACTTAAGGATCTAGCATTTGATTGCCTCTATGAGCGACAAGGATCCCACCTAAAGATCCAGCATTTTGATCGACTATATGGGTGGCAAGGATCCTACTTAAAGATCTATAATTTTGAGCGCCATTATAAGTGGCAAGGATCCCACCTAAGGAGTGTTTTATTAGCCTTTACAGGAAACAAGTAACCCACTTAAGGATCATGTGACTTGATCGCCTCAATGCACGACAAGGATCTCACTTAAGGACACAATGATTTGATTGTCCATATGGGCGATAAGGACCCATCATTTTGATCTCCTTTATGGACGACAAGAATACCACTTAGGAATCCAACATTCTGATTGCATCTATGGGAATCAAAGATCCCACTTAAGGATCGAGCGATTAGATCGCCTCTATGGGAAGCAAGGAGTCTGCTTAAGGATCTAGCGATCTTGATTGCCACACATGGAAATCCACTCTTGAGCTTTCAGGTCCTACAAAGAAAGGAATACCCAACAAGCACATATTCACAAATAATATATTGAGTGGCCTCATTAAAAAACCTCACCGCACGACAATCACCGAGAGTAAAGAGAGAACACACAAAGTAAAAATTTACTTACAATCAATAGAGGTGTAATACTCGCCTAGAAAAGTCAAAAACCAAATAGTCAAACAACGATAAGAAAAATATGTAAACAACTGCAATGTATGTGGCTCTAGAGGGCATCCCTTTCGAGGCCTTAATCTTCGTTTTCTTCATTGGATGACCCTTACCCATCCTTTGGAGAGGGGGTACTTTATGCCTAAATACAGAGTGCATAAGACGATGTCCAACTGGTTAAAAGTTAATCTCCCTATAATCATATTTTAGGAAGAAGGTGCATTAATAACTAGACGAGTGGCTTTTATTTCTTTGGCTTGGTCCTGCTCTACAAAAGTTCTTTTCAAGGTGATTGATAACACGCAAATGTACTGTTTATTTTACTTGATTTTCACATGTATTCAGTGTCGTTTATATCACTTTTGCTTCTGTTATGCTGATATTTTGTGTTGTGTTTCAAGTACCGATCAATATGTCACCACTACGTGAAAAATAGAGAAACCATGCGAAAACGACAAGAAAACACCAAGTTCTGATTGTTATGACGAATATAGCCAAATCACGACAGTCGTCATAGGGCCAAGGTACCTAGACTGTCAGTCCGAAGGAGAGAAAACTAGTATTGCAAGTCCAAGCACCATGAGAGGCAGGTCATCAGCCCAACTAACACTTGTCATGGCCCCATATTTAGTGCCCATTTGAAAAAGTCATGACTGATAGGCCGTCAGTCTCGTTAACGCCCGTGATAACGAATAAAGTAGGAAATTCACACCAAATCCTTCTTCACTTCAGATTATACGAGGTTTAAACTATAAATAGGTCCTTTAGGAACAAAACTTGACATCCAAGCTTACTTAGAGCACTAAAATCACTTGTAAAAGAATTAATATTTAATATTGAGATGTTCTTACAAACATTATGTTTTTTAATTGTGTAGTACCATAATTTTGTCCGGAAACCATAAAATTTTCAAATATAAACATTGGATTTTGTTTTTTTTTTAATCTCAAAATAAAAAAATAAAATAAAAATATAGAGCTCGTTCTTATTTCATTTTTATCATTTAAATTTTTTTTAAAGAGAGTTGATTTAAATTTTGATTTGATAAATAATTTATTGTTTGACTTAATATAAAAAATATTTATTTTAATCTTTGATGACAAAAATAAAAGGTAAAAATTTTGAATTTTTTTCAGTTCTAATTTACTAAAAAAATTATATTTATTTATTATTTTTGTTTTTTATTTACTTTTTTATTTGTTATAATTATTTTCGTTTTTATTATTTTTATTATTTATTATTTATTATTTTTATTATTTGTTTTTATTCTTTTTTATACTTAGTTTGTTTCCAAATTGATTTTTAGAGTAGTACTTTTTTTGTCCCTCTCTTCACAACCAAATGAAAATCTCACTCTTTTAGATTTTTCCAAACAATCATCAGTATTTTAAACTTTATATCCTTCGAATCATTCACATTATCACACACTTCCAACAAACACAATAAAGAGTTTTCATTCACTTTGATGAACATTGATAACACTGAAATATTTCACTTTATGGCCTTTTATTTCTCTTTTATTTTTCTTCTATTTTAGTGAAACAAATAAAGTATAAGGAGCAAAAGAAAGGGGAAAGATCAATTTAATTATATTTTCAGATTTAAATAACTTTTAAAATTTTTGAATTTAAATATATTTTTCTAATACTATTGTTATTAAAAAATAATTAAAAAAAAGTCTCTTATATCAACATATATATTTTATAAAAAATACGGTTAATTTAAATGCATTGAGTTATATTTGTATTGTTTAAACTCTTTGGTTTTAATTAGGAAATTGAGATTTTCTTTATTTAGAGACCGAATTTCTAATAATAATAATAATAATAAATAATAATAATAATAATAATAATAATAATAATAATAATAATAATAATAATAATAATAATAATAATAATAATAATAATAATAATAATAATAATAATAATAATA